CAGGGCACAGTAATGGCATCCTACATGACAGGTCCGACATGCAGTATGTGGTTGGCTAGATGAACTCCGGGATTCCTCCTAGTTCAAGTGTACCTCTTTAAAACATGTAGTCCTTAATTTCTGATACCCATCCCTGTTCAATCATTTTCCGTGTTTTGCATTCTGGAGATTCCCATTTTTTAATCCTTGGTGTTCATACTACATATCTTCACAGCTGGACCAAGATGTTTTGTTGTCTGAGATGAAGGACAAGACAGCTTCCCACCACCGGTTCCATGCGAAGAAGTCAACAGATCAGTCGCCGATGCTTCCTTAAATGTAGGTGATAGCACAGCAGTTGCTACCCCTTCTTAGGGCAATGGCTGGCTTGATGGTAGAGGGCATGCCGTGTGGCACGCCAGAGCTCTGGCCGTCAACACCTTGCCATTGCCTGTTCACTGCTTTGCCAAGCAGGGGCCACTGCCCATCCATCATCTGCATGTTGAAGCAAGCATCGTATTCTGCCTCGTGGGAAGGGTGGCCTTGCACATGATGGACTGCCTTTGGTGTCTGTCCTCTCTCAATCTAGAAACTAAGATAACTATCCTATATATTGCTGCTTGGGGATAAGTCTCCCTGAACTTGTTCAGGTCCTGATTACCTGAAGGAGTGCTTGCATCCATATATGCCCAGCCACCCCTTGAGATCGGCGGGGGAGGCCCTTCTCCGGGAACCCTCCGTGAAAGAAATTAGGAGGGTAGGTACTCGGAGGAGGGCTTTCTCTGCGGTGGCGCCTAATCTATGGAACGCGCTCCCCAGAGAGGTCCGCCTGGCGCCGTCGTTATTTGTTTTTCGGCGCCAGGCGAAGACCTTTTTATTCAAGCGGCAGTTTAACTGTTAATACTATTGGATTTTATCTGGCCAGGGCGGCTTATTTTATACTGTATTTTTGTATTTTTAATTTAATGTTTATATTTTTAATTTATATTATAATTATTTTAACTTAGTGTTGTAAGCCGCCCCGAGGCTTCAGTGAATGGGGCGGCATAAAAATGTTTTAATAAATAAATAAATAAATAAATAAATAAATAAATAAATAAACTTCTTCTGCAGAGTGGTGAATGCATTTTGTCTCTGATGTACATGAATGCAAAACTGTGGGATACACATGAACCCAGAAGTCTTTCCCTTTTCCACTGCCAGTAATGCCCAACCCAGATATAAATGTTCCCCAGTAGATTTGACCTCACACTGTCCCATCAAGAAACATTGATCAAACTGGCCTTTGAGTCTTGCACACATGTAAGCAATGGTCAGCATCTTCCACTATACCTGAAGCTAGCTTGGGAGGTGATGGGCAGGCAGTGTGGTTCACCCAGGTTTGCCCTCCAACTTGCCCTTGCTCACCACCAAGCATGGCATCAGCCACCTGAGGCAGCCATCTCATTCTGATTAGGGTTCAGACAGTACAATCACCTACACTCAAGGGTGGAGCCTGGTTGAGGATGGTTGGTGCTGAACTGTGAATTGCTGCTAAAGTCAGCTGAATCAACAAGCTTTGACTTGTTAACAGCAACACCCCAGGAAGAGAACCATGGATAATTGTTGGGTTGTAAACTGTGGGTTGTTCATTATGATTTATTATCCTGCCTTGGTTCGGTCAACATGATAGCCCATATTTCAACAACCCATGGTTCAATGACAATCCACACTGAGCCTTAGTATTTGGGTTATTGCATTATCTGAATCCAGTCTAATGGTAGACTCTATAGAGGCCTCCTCAACACAGAGATGCAGTAGCAAGGAGGGAAACAGGAGCATAATTATTGAGGACCAATTCTTGTGAACCTGTGTGGCTCAAAGTCACAGCCAGGCACAAGAGAAAGCCCTGAGCTCATGGGATCTATAAGGCTCCCCTTGTTGTTGTTGTTAGTTGCGAAGTCGTGTCCAACCCATCGCAACCCCATGGACAATATTCCTCCAGGCCTTCCTGTCCTCCACCATCCCCCAGAGTCCACCTAAGCTCACACCGACTGCTTCAGTGACTCCATCTAGCCACCTCATCCTCTGCCGTCCCCTTCTTCTTTTGCCACCAATTGTTCCCAGCATTAGACTCTTCTCCAGGGAGTCCTTCCTTCTCATTAGGTGGCCAAAGTATTTGACTTTCATCTTCAGGATCTGGCCTTCTAAAGAGCAGTCCGGGTTGATCTCCTCTAGGACTGACCGGTTTGATTGCCTTGCAGTGCAAGGGACTCGCAGGAGTCTCCTCCAGCACCACAGTTCAAAGGCCTCAATTCTTCTCTCAGTCTTCCTTATGGTCCAACTTTCACAGCCATACATTGCAACTGGGAAAACCATAGCCTTGACTATATACACTTTTGTTGGCAGGGTGATGACTCTGCTTTTTAGTATGCTGTCTAGATTTGCCATAGCTTTCATCCCTAGGAACAAGTGTCTTTTAATTTCTTGGCTATAGTTCCTGTGTGCGGTGATCTTGTCACTACCTCTGTTTCTTCCCCATCTATTTGACAGGAAGTGATAGGACTGGATGCCATGATCTTAGTTTTCTTAATGTTGAGTCTCAAGCCAACTTTTGCACTCTCCTCCTTCACCCGCATCAAGAGGCTCTTTAGTTCCTCCTCACTTTCTGCCACTCTAGTGGTATCAACTGCATATCTGAGGTTGTTGATATTTCTCCCAGTAATCTTAATTCCAACTTTTGATTCATCTAGCCCTGCCTTTCTCATGATGGGTTCTGCATATAAGTTAAATAGGCAGGACAACAGTATACAGCCTTGCTGAACTCCTTTCTCAATTTTGAACCAATCTATGGTTCTGTGTCCAGTTCTCACTGTTGCTTCTTGACCTGCATATAGTTTTCTCAAGAGGCAAATAAGATGGTCTGGTACCCCATCTCTTTTAGAACTTGCCACAATTTGTTGTGATCCACACAATCAAAGGCTTTAGCATAGTCAATGAAGCAGAAGTAGATGTTTTTCTGGAAATCCCTAGCTTTCTCCATGATCCAGCGTATGTTGGCAATTTGATCTCTAGTTCCTCTGCCTCTTCGAAATCCTGCCTGTACTTCTGGTAGTTCTCGGTCCCCATACTGCTGGAGCCTAGCTTGTAGGATTTTGAGCATAACTTTGCTAGCATGTGAAATGAGTGCAATGGTGTGGTAGTTTGAACATTCTTTGGCATTGCTCTTCTTTGGAATTGGAATGTAAACTGACCTTTTCCAGTCCTGTGACCACCGGTGAGTTTTCCAAATTTGCTGGCATATTGAGTGTAGCACTTTTACTGCATTGTCTTTTAAGATTTTGAATAGCTCAGCTGGAATACTGTCACCTCCATTAACATTGTTGTTGCTCAGTCTTCCTAAGGCCCATTTGACTTGGCATTCCAGGATGTCTGGCTCGAGGTCAGTGACCACCCCATCATGGTTATCAGGGACATTAAGCTCTTTCTTGTATAGTTCTTTTGTGTAATCTTGCCACCTCTTCTTAATCTCTTCTGCCTCTGTTAGGTCCCTGCCATTTTGGTCCCTGCCATGCAAAGTTGGTCCCAACTTTGCATGAAACATTCCCTTCATATCTCCAGAATTTTCCTGAAGAGAACTCTGGTCCTCCCTATTCTATTGTTTTCTTCTATTTCTTTGCACTGTTCATTTAAGAAGGCATTCTTATCTCTTCTAGCTATTCTCTGGAATTCTACATTCAATTGGGCGTATCTTTCTCTTTCTCCCTTGCCTTTCGCTTCCCTTCTTTCCTCAGCTATTTGTAAAGCTTCCTCAGACAGCCATTTTGCTTTCTTGCATCTCTTTTTCTTTGGGATGGTTTTAGTTGCTGCCTCTTGTACAGTGTTGCGAACCTCCGTCCATAGTTCTTCAGGCACTCTGTCTATCAGATCTAATTCCTTCTCGTACCACCACAGAAAAAGTCTGCACACTCTGTGAACTGGCACACATACAGTGCAGCAGCCATGAATCTGCTATGGAAACGTGCACCACCCATTTTAGACACATTCCATCTTCCTCCCCAGTTAATCTCCAAAGGAAGCTTGTTTTTCTGCTTGATAAGAGAAGCCAGATGTGTGCAGTGCTGATTAGCCAGTAAATCTGTCAATCATTAAATCCCTCCTCCGAGCAAGACTGTGTTCAGTGCTGACTGGCTGGTCCTCACATCAGTCATCAGGTTGCCTGCTGCATTCTCGGAGTATAAAATAAACCTTGCTAGTATGGACCACCAAAGAGTTTCTGGCATCCACCTCTACTCGTTCTTCCAAAGCACACTTATTCCACAGCATGTACCAAGACAACCACTGGTGGTAAGTGTTGGACTGAGACTCTGAAGATCCATCTCCTAATCTGAACTTGGTCATGAAGCTCGCTGGATGACTTGGGCCCAGTCATGGGTTCTTAGTCTAAGCTGCCTTAAAGGACTGTTGTGAGGATCAAATGGAGAGAAGGACTGTGTACCCTTCCTTGGTTCCTTGGGTTCTCGCAAGAGGAAAAAAGGATGTAAATATAATGATACACAAACATAAATTGGGGTATCCAAGCAGAGACCAGGTAGCCATCTGCCAATGATGCTTCAAACTGGATTCATGCCTGGAGCTGAGGGTTGCCCTAAATGGCCCTTTCCAGCTTTTGACTCTAATTGGATACAGTTACTTTTAACTCAAGGTGATGTCCCTGCACATTCTTTGGACTGTCACTCCCATCATCCACACCATTGGTTATTCTGGCTAGAACTGATGGAGATTGCATCCCAAGAGTTGCCCACATCTGGGATTTGGATGTTAAGTACCTGAAAGAGGGGAGCCAACGCTAGCCTAGCATATTTGAAGCATAGGACAGAGAGTGTTTTTTAGAAAAGAGAGTGTCATTTCTCAGCTGCAAAGGGTTACAAAATCAGGCTTTTGAGTTGACTTGTATTGTGACACTTTCTACCACTGCACATGCTTTCTGTTGATGCATGACAAACTGTGAGTCAGTCCGCAGCTGGTTATATGAAACAGAAAAATCCAAAGCGTCTCAAAAGTCAGAATTTGTGCGACAGCAGAGAGTGAGCCTTCCCTGCTCCCTAAAACAAGAAGGCCAAGACAGAAGATGAAGAGCCTTCCCCTTCTGTTACTCTCCATTGCACTTTCTTATGCACTTCCCATCTTTCCAGGGGAAAGAAGTGAAGAACAAAACAATCAGCTTGCACAGGTAACAAGGGGTCAGCCTCTGTTTGCATGTCTTTCAGATCCCTGATTTATCTAAGGATCTGTTTGGTAGCTGTTTAGGGGGAAGGGGCAAGGATTTGTGGGATGGGCATGAACAGGAATGGATTGGGCAAGAGAATGAGTTTCGTAAGTGTTGGCTTTGTGCTCCATGCCTCGCAACCTCAGGCCCCTTTTTTGTGAGATGGGAAAATAATAATACTGACTAACCTTGTAAAGTTGTTGTAATGAGGACCACTAGATGATGCACCTGAAGTGCTACACCTGAATGCTTGAAAGCTCTATTCATGTTAAGAATTGGTATGACTTCTTTTATAGAGAAAACATCAAACATGCCCTTTTCTTGCTTCGAGAGGGCCAGAGGGAATGTAGCACCATGACTGGTGCAGACGGATTCAAATCTCACATCAGGCTCATGAACTGCAGCCACTGTGGGCATGTGGCCACGAGTCTTGTGACAGAGATGCTTCCGGTATAATCCGAAGCATGTTTAGATGGAGAAACAGCCCTGCCGTTTCCCAGCACTCCTCAGCCAGTCAAGGTGACTGAAGGATGCTCCTAGCTGTAGAACTTCTTCCTTTTTATAAGAGGACAACCTTAGATACCTGTCTCTAGTGCAGTTAAAATGGAAGAGACAGCTCTGCTTTCCTCTTTCCCTTCTTTTCTCTGTACTTCTTGCTTAGAGGAAAGCTGGTTTGGATTCAGCAAGAATCTGAATACAGAGGGAGGGGCAGAGTGAAATGCTTACCTTTTCTTTTGCTTATACCCCTGTTGTACCTGGATTAAATGTGTGTATTCCTGAAAAAACATAACTGTTTTTAAAAAATGTAATTTGTGGCCTCCACACCAGTATAAATATGTGATCCTTCCTTCCCTGAGACTTTGGAGAGAGGGCAAGTTAAAGATGGAACTATGCACAATAAATACTGTGCATCACAGCCCTGTATTTCAGCCCATACAGATCAGCATAGGTGACTCGGAATTCTATATAGGTGACTCGGAATTCTATATAGGTGACTCGGAATTCTATGCAGGTGAATAAGTGTCTTTGGAGAGGAGGGAAAGGGCTGCCAAACCCACCCACTCACCTACACAGATTTCCTAGTTGCCTCTGGGGTACAAGTGAACACAAGAGTGATCTAAGCCATTCACAGGGCAGTCCCATCCGGCACCTCAGTTCCAGCCTTGGAAACTTGCTCTGAGGTTAGAGCTGGGACTCCGAGCTTGGAAAGTTCACACCCCTGCCCCATAGTTGGTGTGGGATGACCCATGGCGGCTGCTTTTCCAAAGTCCCAAATGAGATCTCAGAGAAGGGGGTTTGTAGGCAATCCAGAGGAACGGGGATGCGGGGGGAGAAAACAGGTGCCACCACAATAAAAGATGTCCTGGGGGTACCTCAGCCTCCTTCCCTCCTGCTCCAAGGTGTGACGCACTAGACAGCTGGAATTTTGCAGAGTGGGAGGGAAACAGGGAGCACAGCAGGAGCTGTAAGAGATTTTTCAGCCTCCATATGAACAGGATTGTGCTCTTATTTGGTAGCCTCCTCTTATCCCCAAGCAGCACAGAAGAAACTATTAAAATAAATGCAGTCTAGTAAATTCTGTGGGTTTATTTACAGAGTAAGGAAAAGAAAGATTCCCAAAATAGCCATGAAAATGCATTTTAAAAAGACAGACAAAACCAATGGCACTGAAGACTTGCTAACCAGCAGATAGGGAAGATTTATTGCATATGTGCTTATTTCTAAGAAACAGTGGTTCATTTCCTGGAAAATACTGGACTTTTCATGCCAATGCAGGACCTACTGAGATTTTTTTAAAGTTACAGCTAAAATCCCTCCAAATCCTGTAATATTCTTTTTAATTCTGTTAGAAATACCTAGATCAGTTTTATGTACAAGAAAATGAGCCAGGGCAACGAGGCTGGAAAAGCAGGACTTCTTTTGTGGACAAAATCCAGCAAATGCAAGAATTCTTTGGGCTCAATGTCACTGGAAAAATAGATGCCAACACTTTGGAAATTATGCAGCAGCCCAGATGTGGGGTGCCTGATGTTGGACAGTATGTCTTGGCTCTTCCTGGATGGAAGAAAACCAGGCTTACATACAGGTAAGTAATAAATTTTTACAATAAATAATTGTTACAGTGAATTGGTACAATAAACAAGCAAAGCTGCTGTTCTCCAGATATTTTGGACTTTGACTTCTATCTGTCCCAGCTAGCATGGCCAATGGTCAGAAATATGAGGAGCTGTTATCCAAAACATCTGGAAGACACCAGGTTGAAGAAGGCTGCTGTATTCCTATGTGTGTTGATGTGGACTTAAACTCCACTGACCTCAGTGGCTCTTTCTTCCAGGTAAACATTCCTAGGATTTGGTCCTTTGAAAGAGAGAGCACCTCACCCATTATAAATAAAATAGGTTGATACAGAAGCTGTCCAGAAGCTGAAATTTTAATGGCCAATATTAGAAATGACTTCATGATAACATGAGACCACTTGAGAGCAACAGAAGATGTGTCTTTTGTGCAGTCTCAGTTTCTGGTTTATATTATATGTCTGCCATAGAAAGAAAACTTTGAATTCTTTGGAAATGTCCATTTTCAGGGGTTCCCAAGTGGGGCAGTTCTATTTTTGGGAATAGCCTCTTTGGGTTGACAGGCAGGGTTTCCAAAAAGGGTGACAACCATACTAAGAGTCTGGCCTGTCTGGTTACCAAACAGTATGCTCTTGAATCTAAGCTGTTTGGATGGTTAGATCAAAACAACTGGACAGTCTCCTGCACTTCTAAGAGTTAGGTAGATGCACAAATCTCTGCAGGTGTAGCTTGTCATGCAATCTAACTATCCATGCATTTGTGAATGGATTCAGGTAATTCGAAATAAAGCTTCAATAATTATGCACATTTACTGGAAGTAAATCTGGTTAGGCTTGCTTCAGGAGAAATATGCACAGGAAGAGGTGATTAATCCCAGAAATTCTTCAAAATATCAGGGATTAGGAAATAGCATGCTGGAACATATTATAAAACAAATAAAATGGAACAAATTAAGAGAAGGGAACAGCCAGTGAGGAAATCAATTGAAATTCACCACATTTGATTAAACAAATAAACTGTTACATAAATTGTCTTCATCATCTGGAACTGGTCAAAAGAGAGATCCGCCTGAATGAAAAGCAATGTGGCATTTTATTCCAGCTGGCCTTCGGATCTCTGTTTTCAATAACATTTTCATTTCTGAATGTATTTATTAATGGCAGTTCTAATCTGCCCAGTAACTAATGCTGTCTGGGTCAATCACAAAACAAAACAAAAATGCACATCATTAGTTGTCATGGAGAAAAGAATGAACTTTCCTGGATTTTATCTTCTAGGATTGTGAATTACACACCTGATATGAAACGAGCTGATGTGGAGACAGCCATCCGAAAGGCCTTTGAGGTTTGGAGTATGGTGACTCCTTTAACTTTCAGCAGGGTTCATAAGGGGAGAGCCGACATAATGATTGAATTTGCAACCCGAGGTAGTATATTTGCATTACCACAGTCTTAAGATTCATGGAGCTCCATGCATTGCTGCAGGAGTGCAGAACCTCAGCGTCCAGTCCAGCCCTCTAGTTGTCCCCACATAGCTACCCCCTCTTCCCCTGGACACTCTTCATTTGTCCCCATTGCTTGGTGATTTCCTGTTTTTTTCCACAGTTTTCTCTAAGGATGAAGTGCTGAATTAAAGGCAGTAAGAGCTCTGCAATACAATATGCTGGTATTTGGGCCCTGTGCCTTTTGGCTGTGCCCCCAGTTCCACTGGACTGCATGCCAAAGCATTTCTCTAACTAGAATTCAACCCTCGCCCTGGAAGAGGTTCTGCACCCCTGCAGCACTACAATGGGATGAATAACTGAGCTTCCCTGTGTCGCTACTTAGTGCATCCGTCCTGCCCTCGGCAATTTGATGGGCCTCTGGGAGTCCTTGGACACGCTTTCCCCCCAGGCCATCCCTTCCGCGGAAATGTCCACTTCGATGAGGATGAAAACTGGATTACCAATTCAGCTGGTAAGCACATGTGTTTGCAAAATGTGGGCCTGCAAGGACTCGGCCCTTGCTGTCCTTGGATTTTCAGGTGGCGGTTGTGGAAAGGAGTTCATTTGCACAATGACAGTCGGTGCACCAGCTGCAACCCAGTTGGGCCACAGTTATCCATGTGCTGGTGACTTCATGTCCAGACCACTGACATGGGTGCTGTGAGAAGTGCCTCAGAGCATCAGAAGCACAAAATGTGGCAGTGGGGTGTTCACCACCGCATGCTCTCAGGACCTCATTATCCACCTACCCTGGTTGCCAGTCACCTCTCAGCTGCAATTCAAGGTGTTGCTTTTATGCTCTAAAGTTAGGACCTGGCTATCCAAGAGACTGCGTGGCTCACTAGGAAATGGCCTGAATCTCACAAACTGCAGAAGAGGTTCATTTCCAGGCATGTGTGAAATGAACTCATGTGTTACTAGCCAAAAAAGCATGGCATCTCCTCCCTCAGTCATTACAACCGGCTCCCACTCTCTTCACCTTGAGAAAGCCATGCAAAAGGCATCTTCTCATCTTATCTGTTTGAAATCTAGAGTCTCATGTTTAGCATTTTTACTGTTCGAATATTCTTTGTGCTACGGTTTTCAGGTGTTACGATTGCCCATTGTTGTACACTGCTCTGATAGCTTTTTAGCAGATAAAGTGGTATATTAATAACAATGATGACAATGATAATGATGATGATGTGAATAATCAATCAAACAATAGATAGCAGTGTGCATAGATATGCCAACAAGCAGCAGTACATGGCACGATGCCCACTTTACTAGGATCAGCATAGCCACATTCCTGTTGTTATTATGGCATTGCATTTATTTATTTTATTTATTTATTAAAACATTTTTATGCCGCCCCATTCGCCGAAGCCTCAGGGCGGCTTACAACAATAAATAAAACCACATAAATTAAAATATACATATTAGAATAGTAATAATAATTTAAAATACAATATACCCACCTTTCTTCCTCTTGCAAGGAACCCAAAGCAGGTTATGAGGTTCTCATTCTCTCCATGTTATCCTCACAGCAACAACCCTGTAAAGTAGGTTAGGCCAACAGAAAATGACTGGCCCAAAGTCCCCCAGTGTGTATTATTAGAGCAAAATCCTATGCATGGTTGCACCAAGAAATTCCTAGTTTAGAAAACAAAGAAACCAGCATGGCTGTCTTCAGCATGCTGAAAATTGTAGGACTTGTCTAAACATGCATAGGACTGTACCTTTAATAAAATAACCTGCGCTTTTACAAAAGATCTTGAAAGGCAAACTTTGAGCTTTCCATTAAAAATACAAACAACTGTACAAAGAGGTGTCTCCATAATCTTTACCAATGTCCAGTAGGAAGCCTGTGAAAGGAAAAGAAAGGTATCTCCAACCTCTGCTTGAACCTTCTTTCAGTCATACTTGAAAGCCTCATTATCCACTCTGTCCCTTGCAGAACAGGGAGTAGCTGACAAATACCGCCGAACATGGATGGATGATGGCATCACTCCTGCTCTGAAAAAAGTGCCAGGCCTTCACCCCCATCCAGTCCCTTTCCGCTACAACACTGTTGGTAAGGCAGAAAACCATGATAGCTTCGTGCAAGCGCCATGTTACTTTTACTTTCATTTTTAAGGTGATGACAGTAGCAGAGAAACTGTTTTTGCAAAGCAGGTACAAGAAATCATCTAACTGGGTGTGCTGCCCCGAAAATTTGTGATATACAGCAGCAAATAAACAATTTTTGCACAGAGCAAAACTGATATTGTGGGATTTGGGAGGGGGTGCTAACTTGAATGTGTTAATAATAGTGTATTCCCTTCCCCCTTTTTTGGTGGGGATGAGCAATTCCTTTATTGTTTAGAATGTATCCTTGGATACCAAGTTCCTATAGAGCCACTGTTATGTCATTTGAAGTACCTTTCTGATTCTGTATGTGTGGAATATGTGTGGCAGGAAAGAACACACTTCTGAATAGCTATCAATGCCTAAAAGAGCTGGCTAGCAGGTGCTCTTTTACCACCAAGCCCTGGGAAGTAAAAGGCAGATCCTAAACATCTTTCCTAAACTCCGTGCCTTCCAAATGCATTCATTTGCTTGGCTGGCTGGGGGAAGCCAGGAGTTTGTGAATCTGGTTGAGAGAGGCTGCTCTAAAAGATGCAAGGAAGACCCTTTCTCCCTTTAATATTTGCAAAACTCTGATGTGAAACATACATGGGAGAACGTATGTCCTAATGAACAATCTGTTCTGTCACAGTTCTAACACCCCAGTGTTCGGGTAGGAAGATTGCCGTATTTTTCCGTGTATAAGACTATACTTTTTCTTTAAAATACTTACCAAAAAATGGAGGGGCGTCTTATACATGGGGGGCCAAGAGGAGAACTGCAGGTGCGCTCAGTGGGAGGGGGGAATGGGATGGGCACGCTTGGGGGGGGGGCGTCTGGCGCAGGCGCATGGGGAGGTGGTGAGGCGGCGTGCATGAGCAGGCAGCAGCAGCTTGCTCACTCGGAGATGGTAAGAAAAGTGGGGGGTGTCCTATACATGGGGGCATCTTATAGATGGAAAAATACAGTACTTTGGGCCTCTCTGCTGACCCCCACTGGCAGAGAGGAGAACTGCCAGCAGGGGGCTCTGCCGCACTGGCAGTCTCTGTTATCCATGGGTGGGCAGAAAGCCACCTGCAAGTTTCCTTGCCAGTGGCAGCAGGTGGAAGTCCTGAAATAGGATGTTCCAAGGGAGGGGGCAGCGAGGATCCAGCTTTGGAGCCACTGGAGGTGCACCCTCAAAGGACAATGGTGGAGCATTTCTATGCACAGTGCCAGAGAGTTAGCCCCATGGACTTCTGTGCATCATAGTTAAAAATAGGGATTTCAGAGAAATTCACAAAGGATTCAAATGAGACAACATCTTCCCAAGTCCACTCCATGGATTCTGCAACGTACTGGCTTTCTGGGGTCACATGGAGTCTGTGAGGCCTGTGGAAAGATTTTCTATTTTGCTGCTAATTTATCTGCCAAAATTACAAAACATTACAAAAATGCCAAAATGTACAAATCCTTCCCCAGACAAAAGCATGAAAGCACGTTGGAGATATTTGCATATTTTGGCCAATTTGCACAAAGAATGAGTCCTCAAAACACGGATTGCAGGCTGCCTGAAATGTGGGTAGACCAGCTTTTGCTCCTTTCATACATTCCTAGTTCTTAGTACATGCTAAAGTCCATCTGTAATGTACCTTTGTACATGTATGTATTTATTTAGAATTTGACTTGAGGCTGGTTGCTGCTCATGAAATTGGCCACGCACTTGGTCTTGCGCATTCCAATGACCCAAGAGCACTGATGTTCCCCAATTACAAACCTCTGGAGGACCCCACTGCTTTCCCACTCTCCCGCGATGATATTGATGGCATCCAGGCTATTTACGGTAAGACCAAGAAGCCACCCAAAAAGAATGGCAACAAGCTAATAATCAAGAACAAGGAATAAGGGGTCAATTATGAAGCCAAAACCAGCATCTGTATCAGTATTAAAACATCCCTCTCTTAATAGCTGTAGTACTAATTAGTGCTCAGATTGTTCCTGTGCGCAACTCAATGTTGCTGGTCAAACAAGGTCTAGCTAGCCAGAAGTTGGGTACAAAAATGTACTTCCTCCAGTGAGAGGGAAGCTTTTCTGGTAGGGAAAGGATATTTGTGTATTGTTAGGCTTCCAGGCTTAGAAGAGAATCTCTGATTGAACTGTATGGCTTCTGTAGGCAGAGTAGCAACTGTCATTGGGATTTTACTCCATTTATTACATTTCTATCCCATTTCTTCCTCTTCAGGCAAGGAATGCAGGGCCTTGCATAATCATCTTCCTCCACCTCTCCATTTTATCCCCACAACAGAGAGTTTAGACTGGTCAAAAGCCTTCACGTGAGCTTCACGGCCAAGTGGGGCTAGAACCCGGGTTGCCCAATGCCCAATCCATTCCCTAAGTGTTGTGCCACACTTTGCAAAGCAGCAAAACTTGAGCTTACTAAGGTTGCCTGATTTTTGTCTTGAGGCTTCTTCCAGGGCATGTCTCTATAAGGCTGTGATCCTGGTGGGCAGCAGCAGCAGTGCTGATGGTTTCCACATGGAAAATATACATATTTCACGCCCATTTTTCCAACTGTACACATCAATTGTGCACATTTTTAAATGTATACATTTTCTCCCATTGACTAAAGAGGGCTTGTCTACATTTTCAGATGTAGACATTTTTCATTCATGTTTTTGAATGAGCTTTTTGTTCTTCCACTAATTGTATCACAAGCTCGCGTGTGCATGGACTTCACCCTGCAGATTGCAGTCTGCATTTGAATCTAGAAGATACTGCCCAAGTCCACCCCATGGATTCTGCAGAGGACTGGCTTTCCCGGGTCACATGGTGTCTGTGATGCTCATGGAAAGATTTTTTGCCTATTTTACTTATTTTTCTGCAAATACAGCTGTCAAAAGCACAGAAAGTTTTAAAAATCCCAAATATAATTTGGAACTAGTTTCTGTCTCATCCCTAATTATAATATGGGAAAGTTTCATCTTGCATGTGCAGTCGATTCACAAGGCTGCAGCATCTCAGCTGGAAGAAGGGTCTGTTGTAAAGCCATCGTAACAGCACTTGAGCAAACTTTGCTAGTGTTGCACCCCAAGTTCCATTGGACTTGCTAGTACAGCTACCAATCCTGGGCATTTCTGGATAACAGAATAAAGTCCAGGTTCAAATCCCCATGATGAAGTTCCGTGGGTAACCTTGGCCCAGTCATTATCTCTCAGTGTAACTTGATTGTTATGGTGATAAAATAGTGAGCTAGCAAGCAAAAACTATGCATTGCATCTGGAGCTCTTTGGAGGACTTAGGGAACATAAATGTTTTTGCTAACATTATTATAATTAAACATATTTCTTGTATACTTTCATTAGCAAGAGTTTAAAATATTCCTCATAAACTGCTTATCTTAGGACCATCACTCAATCCACCAAATATACCAGAGAAACCAACATTGCCAAAGACTTGTGATCCTAAGTTATCTTTTGATGCCATCACTACGCTGCGAAGAGAAGTCATATTTTTTAAGGGCAGGTAAACACAGTTCCCTTGAAAATGCTCTAGTATCTGTTCAGAGGAGAGGATTGTTCTTCTCCCCTTCCCTATACCAATTTCCTCTTCTCCTTAGGCTGATTGACAGATGGAGTCTGTAAAAATGCTCCTCCTCTTCTTCCTACTTCTCCTCCTTCTCCTTCCTCCTTGCACCATCCAATGCCTGATGTAGCATTAAGTGTGTAAGAGAAAGAGAAAGAGAGAGATAATATTGCAAGAACTGCCAGGAGGCATAATCCAGCCATCCATTCTCAGAACAGTGGGTTTTCCTCTCATTGTAATCGTGTCCTTGGGAACAGTACTGTTCCTCTCCTTGAAGGATTAAATGGCATCCATTCACTTACATGAGACTCCTGCTTCCCACTGGTGACCCTGTCCACTGAGAAGCAACCTTCTATTTCTGTGGCTCTGATCCACATTCTGATTCTTTGTCACATAGCAGAGTGCATGAGTGTGTGTACAACCAATCGATATGTTTTTATATAACTCTATTTTATCATTCAAGTAGGAAGGCTATTGTGCTCCCCCACCCAAACTGAAAAGGAACTCCAACGCAATGAGCTCATGCCAAAATCAGGGCCTGAACCAGAAACTCATATCTTAGTCATTGTCTTGTATAAGATTAGATCACTCTTCTCCAATCTAGTAGTCTCCTGATGCAATGGATTTCTATTCCCATTGTTCCCCGCCAGCTGGAAATGATGGGAGTTGTGGGCTGTCCCATACTAGGCATCTTCAAGCATCTGAGAAGGATGCTTGAACTTGGAGTTCTGCTTTGAGAAGGGGATCAAAATGGTGGCCTCACTGACCCCTCCATTCTACTATTCTTTGGTTTTATGATTCTATTCTATGATTCCATGAGTTGCAATTTCTCATGTATTTATAATTTGTAATTGGAGCCATGATCTATTCATTTCAGGCAGCTCTGGAGAGTGTACCCAGGTCGTTCTGAAGTTGATCTCGAATCTATTTCTACTTTTTGGCCTTTCCTACCATCTGGTATCCAGGCAGCTTATGAAAATATGAACGATCAAGTTTACTTTTTCAAAGGTAAGAAATTGCTGATTTGCACTACTGCACTTCCTCCAAATTTGACTAGGGGTGTGTGAAAACCCAAAAGCTGTTCACAGTTCTACCCCCTGATTTCCAGTGTGTTGGTCCTGCACTGGCACCAACTCATTATTGTGTGAAATGAGCTAGATGCAAACTTCCATCTTTAAGACAGAGAGGGATCTGCACATTTTTAAAATTGCTAATGAAATGTTTACGAATAAGCACAAGGCTCTAGCATGGGATTCGACTGTTTATTCGTAGAAATGTCATTGGAAATGACATTTCTACGTGCAAATCATGCAATGTGCAAATCATGGTCCAGTTTAGAGACAGAAGTTAACAACCTTCCCCAGTGCAGCCCACTTGGAAGTGGGCAGGAAACATCCAGGTTAAATGAGCTAGGGCAAAGGAGAGGGTTGGTTATGTTCTTGGGCACTCATTGGGCACCACCTGAATGATTCTGGGGCCTCACATACCTGGTTCACATACAGTGCTAAGTTTGGTTTGTTGTAATCTGGGAAGCAGGAGCTATAGTGTGGTATTAAGCATATAGTCCTTACTGCAAGTTAGTAGTAAAGTAAGTCAGAATCACAGGCAAACCAAGAGACAAAGTCAAGAAGCAAGCCAGAAATCAGGACCTAGGAGAGATCCAGAGGACAAGGAAGGAGATACAATCAAGAGTAATTAAAATTTGAAGACCCTGTGCTCCAGCAAGTCTCAGCTACAACAGGAAACCCTTCCTATGCTGACCTGCCCTGAAGGATTCAATGGCTAGCCTGGGTGGGTGGAATCAATCCAGGTCTTGAAGTTAAGAAGCTGCCACCACCAGTCAATGGTTTATCACATGAAGCAGCTGCAGAGATGTCCTTCAGCTTCTTAAAAAGACACACATGGTGACTGTGTTCATGACAAGGCAGAGTCAGCTTTCAGATGTCAGCTTTCGCCAGCCTAGTGTCCTCCAGATGATCTGGACTGCAGAATTCCTGACTATTGGCCATACTGGCTGGGGCTAATGCTGGCTGAACATCTGGATGTACAGACCAAGTTTGGAAGGTTGGTTATTGTTAACCATGTGAATTGTCTTGCATAAGAACAGAAACATGCAGCCTATTTTCCCTACTTATTTTCCCCAACCTTGGAGAGGAGCGCTTGCCCATCTCCACTGAGGAACTACTAAGTATGTGCCACAGAGTCCTTGTTTGCTGTGAAGGATTCTGGGGGCATTTTCTAGGGCACTGTCAGGGCTGAGCAGTTTGCAGTGACCTGGAAAGCATCGCTCTGAAAGCAGGGGTGCACAAGCTTTTTGGCCCTAAGGGCCACACATGATGCTGGCTTGCGGCTCAGGTTCCACCTGCACATATGCACACATGTCCCTGCTTTTTATCTCTGCCAGCAATGGCATGGAAAGAATGATCTGCATGAGGAGCTCTGGGGGAAGAAGTACAGATTACTAGCGAATTAAGTGATGCTAGGAGTATGAAGGCAAAGTTTGAGCACCCCGATTCAGAGCCTCCTATGCCAATCTGCTGCCCTTCAGATGTGTTGGACTACTTCTCCCATCATCCCATAGATGAGGATGATAGGATCTATAGTCACACATAGTTGGAAGGCAATGGGTTGGTGAATGATGTTCTGGAGCCTGAGCAGACAAGTTATGACCTTTCAGATGTTTTGGGCTTCAATTTCCAGTATTCCATACTGTCAGTTCTGCTGGATGAAAGCACTGAACTGCACTTGCACTGATTTGTAATGAATAAATATTTTTATGCAGGGATAATTCAATGAAATCATAAACTTTTTGACAGTCTTTTCTCTGTTTGAACAGATAATCACTTCTGGGTCATTAGTGGTTTTCAGATGCAGCCTGGCTACCCCAAAACCATCGACCATTTTGGCTTTCCACGAAACATTAAGAAAATTGATGCTGCTGTTTTTGATAAAAATACTCAAAAAACCTATTTCTTCATTGGTAACCAGTATTGGAGGTAAGGTCTCTGGGAATTCTTATTATTGTCATTATTACATTGCATTCATATTTCACTTTTAGCAAATGAGAAGTTATCACTACTTCTTGTGGAAGTGAATTCCATAGTTTAATTGTGTGCTTTGTGAAAAAGTACAACTGGCCATTGTGGGGAATAGTCTGTAGGTCACCCTGGTAAGCTGCTTCCGGTACATATGGAAAAGTGGAGAAATGGAGCTGGATCTCTCCATGCGCACAGTGAAATCATGGCTTTTGTTTTCTGAGAAGCTTTGAAAGGAGTAGTGTTCACACGCACGCGCACACACACACACACACACACCCCAAAGGAAAAAGTAGAAAAGAGTAATCTTTTAATACACTTAGCAGTTTAGGGCTCATATAGAAACAGAAACAGAGCAAGTCAGAAGGGGTCTCCCAGGCCGTCTAGTCTGACCCCCGGATCCATTCACGGCATGCCCATCACGTACATGTGTAGCCTATCCTTGAACACCCTCACTGATGGGGCCTCAAAACTACCTCTCATGGAAGCCCACTCCATACCCTCGGGGTCCTCACTGTCAGGAAGTGCTTCCTGGCATCCAAATGGAACCTTGGCTCCCTGAGCTTTCCTCCGTTGGAGTGTGTCCTGCCTTCTTCTGCAGGGGAGAACAGGTCTCTACCCATCTCCATGTGATATCCCCTCACATACCTGTATGTCGCCAACATATCTCCTCTGAGTCTTCTCTTCTCCAGGCTGAAGAGACCCAGTTCCCTCAGTCTCGCCTCATACCCCATCCCCTGCAAACCGGCCACCAACCTTGTGGCCCTACGCTGCACTGACTCTAACCTGGCTATATCCTTCCTGTAACAAGGGGCCCAAAACTGAACACAATACTCCAGTTGCGGGCACACCAGAGTCGTACAGAGTGATAGTAATACCTCTTTCGATCTAGAAGCCACACTTCTGGCTATGCTATGCATTAATACATTTTAGTTTTCAAAGCAAATGTCAGTACAATGAGAGAGGCACTACATATTGCTTTTAGCTGCATTGATGTGATGCACTGAGTTGACTTTCACTCATTCAGGATATTGGTATGCTCTCTTTTCATCAAATGCCTGTGGAAGTGTGCAGGCAACACAGATTACAAACTGTAAGAAGCAAAGAAAAGAATTTAGAAATTCAACAATTTTAGAAGGAATTGGACTCAGAAATCAGGCTTGCCATCCCCACTGTGGAAAGGAAATATTTCTAATACTAGACTCAGGGGTCATCCCATGAAACTGATTTGCAGGATTGGTGTGAGATTCAGGACAAATAAGAGGAAGTTCTCCTTCATAATAGTTGATGCCAAATGTTATTAGCTTTATCAATTATGTCTGAAATCTTTGGGACTAGATGTAGATTAGGCAGATTCCCCACCTAATGTGACACAATCAATTTACTTAAATTATATTATTTAGGTATGATGAGAACAGTCGATCTATGGATGAGAACTACCCAAGGAAAATAAGGGATGATTTTCCTGAAATTGGCCAGAAAGTTGATGCTGCTTTTCAGCAAAATGGTAAGGGTAAACCGCTGCAACCAGCAGTGCAGGCCAGGGACCTGGGTCATGGAGCTGAATGGCCAGGGGCCCCCCGTCCGTGTCTCTCATAGCAGTTGGACTGTGACAGGAAAGGTCTCTCTCCCTCGCACCATGCTTGCTGATTCTGATAATTTGGTGGCATCAGAAGCTTAGGGCCGGTGAGACCCGGTCCTCCAAATCCTTCCGCATTCTGGATATTCTGAACTCGCCTTCTCACTGCCTCCCACACAGGCAGGATAACACTGTCAGAGTTTAAATTCACTTTTGCAGAATTGTAGCTTAGCATTATATTTGAACCACAGATCTTAGTTTAAGACTGGTTAGTTTAACAAGCCAGCTTTTAGTGCAAAGATGGTTTCTGAGGAAGCGTCACAGAGTCTGTTTTAAACCAGGATCCCTGGATGAAATGTAAGGCTAACTAAGATTCTGCTAAAGTGGAACTAAACTCAAAGGCCTGCAATGTGCCGGCCCCTTAGTCCATAAACAGGCTGCGCCAGGAAAGACAAGTAGATCACTACCTTCTGGATGCGGTCACCTGTCTCCCACGTTTCTTTGGGAAAAAGTTCTGATGGACATGCGGAAAGATTTTCTCCAAGACTTAGATTTTAATGAATCTAATATTTTTAGATTCATATTTTTGAACTGGTGGAGAAAGAGTGGACAGACATTTTAGGGTGCAACCCAATGGGCTCCTGACATTTTATGGGAGGCCAAAGAATTGTTCTGAGTTGCAATTCTGTCATCCTGGGCTAGAAATCCAAAGGCCAAGTTCCCAATCTGCTCCCCTCACATCTAACACTGAAAGAATGTCACAGGATGCCTCCCAAGCCCCCGATATTGAAGCTTGGAGAAGGCAAGATGGGGCATGCTGGGAAGCGGGAAGGGGAGGAGAAATTATGCCAGTTCCTGGTGGCATCCCAGCCCTTGTCCATTCCCCTCCTTGGCACTTTATCTCGACAACTGAAAGGGGCTGTCTAGATAAACTACAAGGCCCAGTGCAGGCACAGGGCACAGCCGAGATGCTCACTCCATGCAGGGGATGTACGGAAAGCCCTGAGACTGAAGACTCCCACACAGTGAGCACATGGAGGGTGCCCTTAAGCAAACAGCCATGTCCCTGCAGTGCACACCTCTGGGATCTCCATCCAACTCTTCTTCTCTGCTCAAGCGGCAGAGCCACTAAGAGGAGGATGACTGACACATACAAGAGCTGTGTACAGACTCTCCGTTCCCCAACGTGCCCTGGCATGCTTCCTATGCAGCAGTTCCAGGAGACACAGAAACTGGCCCTGTGGCCATCACTCTGCAAAGGTGCTGCATCCACAGAGGCCTGGATTATGCCCTGACTGTGTTGCTGGTCAAACAGATTTCCAAAAGGGCTGGGGAGAAAGTCTACAGCATGTTGACCCTCCTGTTTTGATACCAACCCTCCGTAATATGAATTGGTTCAAATAATGCTCCCTCCTTTATTTCTAGGTTTCTTCTATTTTTTCCATGGGTCCAGGCAGTGGGAGTTCGATCTGAATGCTAAGAGAGTGGTTCGCGTAATGAAGAGCAACAGCTGGTTTAACTGTTAGCTTAGAAAACAAAAAGAAAAGAGAACTATTTGAAGTATATCTCTGTTAACGCACAAAGTGTTATGCAATCTAGAATGTTGAAGCTGCAAAACAAAATTTTTGTTAATGAAGATGATGTTGTTGTTATTCCATTGCATTCCACCACATCATGGGATGATCCTGGGTTCTAGTGTAAAGAGAGGGGGAGAAAATGTCCCCCTGCCACTTTTTCTACATTGTACAGAATTTGGTGCCCCTGGGCCGTGTCTGCCCTCACTTGCCTTTTCTCTCAGTTCCAGGCGTTGTCGCTTTTCCTCGTAAGTGGTGGGGGACCCTTTTCAGCCCAAGAGCCAAAGTGACATCCGGACAAGCACACTGAGGCCAAGTGCCAATGGGATGGAGCCACACCACAGGTGGCTGGGACCACCCTACTGCTGGCACATGCACTAACACAATAGCTCCATTCACTTCCTTAGGGTGAAACCCAGTGGGAATGCCTGTAAGCTGTTGAAACTGGAAGATTACGAGCTTCCTATGCAGGGCAGGAGGAGTGCAAAGACGGCTGGATGGCAATCCAGCAGTGGCAGGGAGGACCAGAGGCACTGCTGTGTAGTTTGTCATCTGGTGGCCCCTGTCTCCTCCCCTCTCCATCCCACGGAAAGCCTCACAACCTGCAGAGAGTGAACAGCTGCTGCAGTGCTGGGGAGCAGTGGGAATCCAGATGCCCAGCTTGCAAGGTCTAAACTTTTTGCTGACCAAGGATCTGGGAATCTGAAGACTACTATATTTATCAGATGCTATCTAGAGGTCCCAGGATGGTCCCATGCTGTCACTGGGCTTTTTGAAGCCTCATTGGCTCCACTGGAGGGAGGAGGGGGATCCTTTATCTCTGCTCTAAGCAGAGGGCAGGGGAGGTAAGGTCAGGGGCTGAGTGGAGACTTCCCACCAGCCATACCTGGCCTGAAGGTCAGATGTCCCCCACTCCTGCTTTTCATCCCAGCCTGGACATTACAGTTCTGTTCACTGGTACTGCCAGTATTTGAGACTTTGTGATGAGCAGGGGAAAATGCAAAGCAACTGAATTCTGATAACTTTAAAAAAGCAACACAAAAACAATATATGAAGCAATTCACATTACACAAGTTTGCACATGCAGTACAGGATACAAACATTACTTAATTTAAACTGTTACAGTAAAAAGGCTGTGAAGATTATAGGAAACTATAACTTGTGGAAGTCTTTGCCTGTGAGCAATAAGGTTTGTATTGGGAAATTAGAGCAGAGAAGAGGGAAAAAAGAGATGGAAAGGGGATGCTGAAAATACAGTTCAGGAAGTACCATACTCCAGAACAGCTTCCCCCAATCTGGTAGCCTCCAGATTCATTTGGATTGCAAGCTCCAGAATCCTCAGCCAGCGTAGTTTTCAGGCCAACACATCTGAAAGCTGCTCTTTTGAGAAAACTGATGTAATTGTTTCATGTGTCTTAAGTAAGGAAGTGTAATTCAGCAGGTTTCAAGTTTGTCAACCTTCTCTGATTTCTACCTCAACACACAGATTGCATATTTTGTGGTGAGGTTTGTCCAAACATCTGAACCTGTTTATCCAACTGTAAGCATTAGTTTGCAAGCTCTTGCATTTTGTTCTGTTATTCAAGCAAATTTTTCAGCCATGTGCCACCTTGGAAAGTACCTTTATTGCTGCATGAATCACATCACAAGCTCAAAAGTCCATCCTAGTCTGCATTTAGGTTTGAGAGGTTAATTTGGATCATTTTGGGCCAAAGCCAAACCGAAACTGAACTCACACATCCCTAGTTTTAAAGATGGATTCATCTCATAATAGTCATATCAGGGCTCACCAAATATAGAATCATAGAACATGGAAACATAGAAACAGAGCAACTTAGAAGGGTCTTTTGGGCCATCTAGTCTGATCCCCGGCTCCAGCCGGCTCCACTCATGACATGCCCTCCATGTGCATGTCTAGCCTATCCTTGAATACCCTCACCAATGGGACCTCAACCACCTCCCGTGGAAGCCCATTCCATATCCTCGGGGTCCTAATTGTCAGGAAGTGCGGGTGCATGAGAGTCGTATAGAGTGGCAGTAATACCTCTCAATCTAGAAGCCACACTTCTGGCTATGAACCAAGGGTGGCGTTCGCCCTCTTGACCACATCACACTGCTGACTCATGTTTAGCCTGCAGTCAACCAGTACCCTGAGGTCCCTTTCACAAGTGCTGCTCTCCAGCCACTTGTCCCCTAACCTGTTCTTATGACACTTATTCCTATGCCCCAAGTGCAAGACCTTGCACTTATCCACATTGAATGCCATCCTGTTATCTCCTGCCCACTTCCATAGTCTGCCCAGATCCTTTTGGATCTGGAGTACCTGCTCCTCAGTTGTGGCCACTGCCCCAGTTTTAGTATCGTCTGGGAATTTGATCAGCAGACCGTTCACTCCTTCTTCCATGTCATTGATGAAAAGATAAAATATCTATCTCTGCACCTGTTTTCAGGTTTATTGCAATCATACATTACTTTTCTTTTTAAGCAGAAAGTACCCTTGATTAACATCCATGACAGTCTAAATGTTTACATAAATGTCACATATTGGTAAAACAGGCTACAGAAAAGTTTGTTTAACCTTCCTCCTGCTTCACTGAGACAACTCCATCATTCACAGCTGTTGATCAGGAACCTGTTTACATATTCTGGGTCCCACATGAGGGAGTCAGTTGAAATCCTTCGCTGTGGCAGGTACTACAATGAAGTAAGCTTCCTACTATTTAATTTACTTTTTGCGAGCTGCTTTGTACTACTCGATCCCAAGATTTCCAAGAGGTGTGCATAAAAGCATGCATAATAAAATTTTAAAAATGGCAATGAAACAATATAAAACAATAAATACTGTCAAGACATTCACATTCAGTTTTTGTTTTATAAACAATGGATAGACAAAGTACAAGCAGTATTTTTAATTTGGCAAACAATCACTGCAGTTGCTATGTAGCTGGTTGGATCTTGCTTTTCCTTCCCCGACATATATGCTACAGTAAGCTGCTTTTGACATTTGGGGGAGTTTCAAAAACAGTTTTAATATGGGTTAGAAACTGCTGTAGAAATATGTTTTTTAAATGTTCCCATTGAGCGATTGAAAGCTGTTGGATGTACCCAAAGCAATTCTTATTTTTTGTTTCTCACTTAACATTAAAAGCAAAGTAACTGATGTCTGCTAGGGAAACAAGCTGCAATCCTCTTCCCAGGTCAACTTGTTCACTAAAGTCAGTGGGACAGAACAGACCAATTGTGTGCAGGACTGCAGTTAGTTTTAAGAGAAACACAGCTATATTCTGCCAAATATAAATTGTATAATGAACTGTTGTTAGTTTAAGATCATGTTTTCCACAAGAATGATCAGTAAATATCCAATATACATTTACATTTGTAGATGTTCTGTGAGCCGTCCCGAGGCTATATAGCAAGGGGACGGCATACAAAAAACTTTAAATAAATAAATAAATAAATAAAATGAAAGCGATAAAATAGAACAGTGTTGAGACTTATTACATGTTACAGAAAGCCAGAGTGAAGGAATAGGTTTCGGCAAGGGGCGGCATAGAAATGTTATAATCATCATCATCATCATCATCATCATCTGAAGCTTGCCACATTTTCTGCCTCCCAAACCTTTTGTGGGAGAATGCGCCATTGTATTTCATCAGCCACTACTAGGAAGGTCCACTTATGTGCCGGGAGCCTGACAATGCAGTAATAGCTGCTCATGTTCATGCTGCTTGAGACAGGCAAGGAGGTCCCAGTCCACCTAAAGGTAGCCATGACTAAATCCTATTTAAACCAATGGAATTTGCCCATTTGTAAAATGTCTACTGTGGCGAGCAGGCTCCGTCGCAAAGCAGCATGGCTCGTGCCGGTCAGTGAACTCGAGAGACTGAACGGCAAGTGATTTGAGAATCCCTTGGTACAAGGCAGAGGTGCGCTCGGAGCAAAACACACACACACACACAGCACCACCCTTTTGCACCTAAATAAGGTGGCCATTGAAAGTCTGCTCTTCACTTTGCAGTGTCCCAGTGAAAAATGATTCAAAATATTAAGAAACAAAATAAAAATCAGAAGCACACAGGCACCTCGCAGTTGCTAAATGGGCACTTAGTGCTTCCTGAATGTGGAATCCACCTTTGTCCTCTTTTCGGTGTTGGACACAACTGGCATTTTTTTAATTTTCCTGATTCATTTTCCACTGCATTGATTCATCTCAGTGGACATAGCTCACCGAACAGTCTGCTTTCTCAAGGTATAATGATTTTTGGACCCAACCCAGAACATTGCATTTCATTACCCAATGAATGAATGATTAAACTAAAGGATTCAGTTTAATCTTTCATTCATGACTGCAGGTGTATATCATACTGAATATAGATGTGTAGGGTGCATTCCTGTACATGTTTGGACAGAAAAAAGTGGTCGCAACTTCCAGAATGCTAGGAGTTGTAAGCATTTTTGCTGTCTAAACTTGCATAGATTTGCATCTTTACTAAGTTATTGGCTTTGTTGGTTTGTTTGTGGAAAAACCATACACTAGTTCCACAATTTTTATGGCACTTTGGTGTATTTTCTATTAGGTCAGGTTTCAGCAGGGTATGGTGCAAGCAATGCAAACATCCCTCCTCCAACACTTTCCCTTGTACTTGACCCCTTTGTATAAATACGGCAATTAATTCTGTTCTTCATGAAAAGAAAAATCTATTAAAGGTGCAGGAAGCCTAAGATAAAAGGCTTTCCTATAGGCAGCTTTCAACCTATCGCTTTACTGCGGCTTCTGCTTCCAGATTCTTTGGGGGATTAAGGTCAGCTCCTTTACTTGTGTGTTTTTTCTGTGGTTTTCCTTTCCTTCCTACATGGTCCATTACACAAGCACAAAGTGGTGCTGTGGTGTACGATAATTGTAGGAATGTGTCTTGTTTGCTTTAGCAACATTCATCCTGATAGCCCGATAACAAATGCCTTCTGGAGAAAAGCGCAACTGTCCAATGGTGGAGACACTGCTTGCATCACTAGGACAGGGGGTCCATCCACATAACCCTTTTGACCTAAAGAAATGTTCTCA